AAAAAAAAAAAAAAAAAGAAAAAAAGAAAAAAGAAATGAATAGAAACTGCCAAGCAAAAGTGACTCTGAAGTGTAGAAAATAGAAGTAAGAATGTGATAAGTTAACGCATGCTTGCCAGATGGCTTGAATTATTTTGGTCATTTCAATGATGTAAAGATACTTATCACGAGGGCTTGGGTATGAAATGATTGTCACTTGAAAAACCAGTTATAAGATCTTTGTCATAAGATCTTTGATGGCAAATTTATAACTTGAGGTATTTCTCTCCTTTCCCCCCTTTTAGCTTGTTAAAATTCCCAAAAATGATCCCCTCAATGAAGTTCATAACTTTAACTTCTATTTGTCAAATGTGGGCAAAGACAACCCTCAGGGCAGCTTTGACTGCATCCAGCAAACATTCTCCAGGTAAGTACTTTTCAAGGTATGCTGAAGGGAAAATAGTTTTTATTTAAAAGGGTTTTGAAAAATTAAACAATGAAATATATAGTAGCCATTCTATACATATATCCTAAGTTCAATTGCAGAGCTCATTTATCTATTTAAAAAATATTAAGGGCCTAATATGTACTAGAAATTATATTTGGCACTGGGATACCGTCACAAAAATTCTTAAGATTTTTACCCTTCCTAGGCTTTTAAGATACAGAAGATATTTTACCTATAAAATATGGAGTTTTTTTTAATTAAAGACAATTTTGAGGATTTTGAAAATGGCTTTATTCATTTCACTTAGATAAGAGTGTCTGTGATATATTCAAGGCTCACACTCAAAGGTACAGGAGGAAAAACTATCTCGCACAGTTCCGCTTCCTTCTTCCCTGTTAACCAGATGGGTGAAAGTATTTCAAACTGTATATAGAAACAACACACTGTACCCCAGGATGGTATTAATGTACACAGCTATGATTTAATTAAAAATAAATAAATAAAAATAAACTAAGAAATCAAGTCTTATTTTAAGGTATATTGTTAAAAATTTTTATTGCATAGCAGCATGGAAACTAGAAATTAACCTAAGTATAGCAGTCACTTCTCTTGATGTAAGGGTTTGAAAAAAAGGGAAGAAGAGAAGAATGCACACTCACACCCCCGTGTGCCATGAATCCCTTATCTACTTAGGTCCTCTGTAAACAAGAAGCCACTTGTTTTACTCTGCTTGGCTTTGGTTGTTTCTGATCAAAGAATGGGCCCTTGAGTGGGGTTGAGGGGTAGATGTTCTGCCCCTGGGTTGAGAAGAGAGAGGTTAGGCTTTGACATTAGCCTGAAGCCCCCCCCCCCCCCCCTGTGCATTTCTGTTGCTCATCTGTGCAGTACTTGAAACTTGCCACACTCACTGGCTGTGGAAGAATGAGGGAAGAAGAACCCTATGTTTCAAACAGGCACAGGAGGCAGAGGTGTGAAATAAGACACTTGGGTGAGGGGATGACTTCTAAATTTATCCTCTCATTTCAGGTGACTAAATAACTTTTCCTTTGTTGTATCTTAATCTACCATTTCCTTAAGTGTATACTAATTTTGCTTTCCCCAAAATTACCCTCAAACTTAAATTTTTTGGCATAAATTGATTATGTTATAGATTACATAGAGTGGAGCAGAAATGTTCAGCCTGCAGCCATGTAGATTATTTGAGGACTATTTTGCTTAAATGTGGTGTCAGATAGCATGAAAATTACCCGTGGACTTTTTTTTTTTTTTTTTTGCTCATCAGTTTGCATTAGTATTTGTGTATTTAATGTGTAACCCAAGACAACGCTTATTCTTCCAGTGTGCAGTAGAGAAAAAAAAATGGTTGGATGCCCCTGATAGACTCTTCTGTCTATTGCAGTAGTCACTGGTCACATGTGGTTATTTATATTTGAATTGAAAAAAATTAAATACAATTTAACATTTCATTGCTCATTCACACTGACGGCATTTTTCAGTCTCATTAGCTATGTGTGGCTGTCATAGAAGACACAGGTATAGAATATTTCCACTATTGTAGAAAGTTCTGTTGAACAGCACTATGATGGATTACAGATTACCAAGTATGAGGGTCTTTAGTGATTATATGAGTTAACGCCTTCCTTTCACAGGTGACTTATCCACAGTTACACAGCTACTTGGTTAGTGGCTACATGCATTCTCCTTACTCCCAGCTCAGTATGTTTTACACACCACAGGGCACACTAAATTCTAAATGTGGCCATTGGGCGGCGCCTGTAGTCCCAGCTACTCAGGAGGCTAAGGCAAGAGAATCTCCTAAGCCTAGGAGTTGGAAGTTGCTGTGAGCTGTGACAGCACAGCACTCTACCACAGGCAATAAAGTGAGACTCTTTCTCTAAAAAATAAAAAAATAAATGTGGCCATCACCTGTGGTGCTTATCTTTAGATAGTTATTATAGTGAGCACATTTTGACATCAGATTGAACTATGTCCCCTTAGGAATTTTAGTAAGGAACTTAATAATTCTCTCTTCAAAACCAGTCATATCATCTAATAAAACTTCCCCCTTACATCATAAATACCCTGTGTGTTTATTTCTACCCTGCTTGTTTGGAGAAGGATTTAAGGCCACTTACAAAACTATAAACATGCAGCAAGAGGATAGAAATAGTCATTGTTAGAGAATTGAGGCAAATGTATTAATATCCTTTCATTAGGATCCAAAGTGCTTTATAAAATGGTGTGGTACAGGTGTAAATTGAAATTTGCTGCTACAAAAACAAAAGCCTCAAACTTTCAGTTCTCAGCCTAGCAAGCAAATGTCCTTTAATCTGGCTCTACCTACTCAGTTTAACTTTTCTGTTTCCTGTGGCTCTTGTCTCTCCAGCAGTAGTTCAAGCTCCTCCAGGGATGCTCAGTAAATAAATGTTCAACAAACAGGGATTAATTTGTCTCTTTATCTACATTTTTAAATCTTACAAACGCTCACTCTTCTCATATATAAACTGGAGGAAATCCTTCCCTGGGCCTGCACAGCTGCGTCATCTTCCTAGAACACGTTAGTCCTCACCCCGCTTACTCAGTCCTCTCTCTACATCAGCTCAGGCACCAGGTGAGGTGCCTGCCTGGAGTCCCCTGCTTCCTGGTGTTTGTCACACGGTGTTGTAATTTCCCGTTGCCCGTTCCTATCACTCACTAGATGGAGAGCTCCCTGCGGGCAGGGGCGACGTCTGTCTTGTTCCTCCCACAGCCACTGTGCCTCTCACATCACCACTCATGCTATCTCTGCCCAGTGAGTATTACGAAATGAGTGGTCGGAATTTTAAATAATAACATTTGTAAAAAAATAGTTAATAGTATTTACAAAAATTTTTAGCAACCCTTATTTCTTAGCATCATAACAAAGTTACTTCCGATTAAGTTTAGAAATAGAGGATCAGAGCTCTAGTATCTATTACTTTTTTTTTTTTTTTTGAGACAGAATCTCAAGCTGTCACCCTGGATAGAGTGCCGTGGCATCATAGCTCACAGAAGCCTCCAACTCTTGGGCTCAAGCTATCCTCTTGCCTCAGTTTTTCTATTTTTAGTAGAGATGGGGTCTTGCTTTTAGCTCAGGCTCATCTTGAACCTATGAGCTCAAGCTATTCACCCACCTCGGCCTCTCAGAATGCTAGGATTACAGGCATGAGCCACCACACTGGCCTGTTACTACTTTTATATTCTAATTTGTTTTAAGGTCATTGTGATTGATTTTAAAACACCAGTTGTGACTGTTACCATGATTTCCCTAATATTACCATATTACTTTGATTCATCTTCTGGGTCCTTATTAATATTCATGATTGTTTTGATAAAAGGTTTTTTAAATATTTCTGCAAAAATCACTTATCTTATATTTTCATCAATATTTGCTATGTAGGGCAGTGCCTGTGGCTCAATGAGTACGGCGCCAGCCCCATATACCAAGGGTGGTGGGTTCAAACCCAGCCCCAGCCAAACTGCAACAGAAAAAAAAAAATAGCTGGGCATTGTGGTGGGCGCCTGTAGTCCGAGCTACTCAGGAGACTGAGGCAAAAGAATCACCTAAGCCTAAGAGCTGGAGGTTGCTGTGAGCTGTGATGCCATGACACTCTACCGAGGGTGATAAAGTAAGACTCTGTCTCCAAAAAAAAAAATTTTTTGCTATGTAAATAGGACATCTTACAGAGATTGAACAAAGCAGTAGATAGAAATTTTACAGATTTTTAGGAAGTTTCAACTGATAATACTAAAGTAAGCGCTCATGTTTGTCGGTATTTTAGCCTTAAAATTAATAACTTGTTAGAAATAAAAAGAATTGTGGCCAGCCCGTTCCATCTAGTAAGCTCTCTTCATGTTACAGTTCCACTAAAGCACATTTGTTATATCAGTGATAGGTAATTATTAAAAATAGTTGACTGTTAAGGAACAACTATAGTGCCCGTTTGGGCTCTGGTCTATAAATACTGATTTTTTTCCTAAAATTTTATGGATTTGGTCTCCGAAAACTCATTTCATCCATTATATTCAGAATATGAAAAAAAAATGTTATTTTTGAATTGCAAACTTATAGTTGGGCTCCTGATTTTAGAATTTTATACAATTTTTGCTCACCTTTATTGTGCAAAATGAGAGCCATCTCTAATAAAGTTACTATCTGTCTTGACAGCTCTGGAGCCTCTCAGCTCAATTGCCTGGGATTTATACAAGATAAAATTACAGTGTGTGCAACAAATGACTCGTATCAGATGACACGAGAAAGAATGACTCAGGCAGAAGAGGAATCCCGCAACCGAAGCACAAAAGTTATCAAACCCGGGGGACCATATGTAGGTTTGTACAGATACCTTTCTCCCTCTTGATGATTGATTGGAGTGATTCAAGATCACTGTAGGTAAATACTGGTAATGTAAAGTTAATAAAAACATAGAAATTAGTTTTCAGATTGTGTATGATATGGTAAAAAAAAAATCATTTGTTCTCTTTAGACTGCTGGTAAATTGAGGAACAGATACTAAAGTTTTACAACTTTTCTAAATCCTAAGTCAGCTGTTGGCCATTTATTATTATTTTATAATCCTGGGGCCTGGGCATGCTACTGCACAGAGTTCTAATAATGGTGCCGTTTTCTTTATGATGATGTCATTTCAGTAATGGACAGGATGCTTCTTGTTTTGCTCTTTTGTAAGACTAGATTTACAGTAAAATCAACTAGTAAAATTAATGTTTGGTAACTTCATTGTTGTAGGTTTTGCTTACATTTTCAGAGGATCTTTGTAGAACAAAGGTTTTTTTTTATTATTGCAAAAGTATAAAATGTGCCTATAGCAAAGCTTAACAACAGAGCAAAGGAGTGATGCCCCTTTGGTGCCTCAATTGTGACCCGCCATCCCCTAATCTGCCCATTAGCTAAGAGCCTCCATCACCCTCATCAGTTGATCATGAGCTCACTCAGATACCGGTGACTGAAGGGAGTAAGACCAGTCTGGCAAGATGAGCCTCTCTTTTATGAACAGTGACCCTAATAACTTTAAGGAGTCCATTCACAGTGACTGCTAACAGGAACAGAATTAGCAGGAGTGGGAATAAGACGTTGGAGTCTTCAGTTTAATAATGCAAGTCACTCTATAGTAAACGATGAAAGAATATTAATTTGGAAGCTTGAATGCTCATCAAAACAGTCTCTTGAAGAACTAAATCCCTTAAGCAACATCTTTCCAAAGTTTGATATAACACTGCTACTGTATTTCCCCATTGCTGAACCAGCTATCATACATTTAGCTTTGAGAAGCTTCACCAGTGTTTTTAATAATAGTGTCTCTCTTTGGAACAAAGCCGGTGCTCCTGGGACTTGGTGCTTAGCTTAGATACATTTAGTTTGGTTTAACAACAATTCATGACTTCCCCAGGTATCTGTACCCACGGGGCCAGTGCCCTACTCAGTAAGTTACCAGCAATGAGATGTCTCACACTCCCTCTCCTGCTGAGTGAGGTAACAATTCTAGCCTTCTTTCTTTCTCTGGGCTACTAGGCTCAGTGTCCATTTGGTTTAAAACACACAAGATGGCTGCATAGTATTCCCTGGTATACATAAACCACAATTTGTTTATCCATTCATGTGTTGATGACAGTTATGATTTAATAAAAATTAAGTTAAAAAAAGTACAAAAGAAAAAACCCACACAAGATCTTCTATAGGTACATTTTAGAACATTTTATCTGTTGCTATAGCTTTGAAAGTATTGCTTTATTCTACCCAATACCTCCATTTTACAACAGTGAGGCAGATTAGTGTGTTTGACAAAGGAATAGAGGATTCAAACCACCACAATGATTTTTTTACCCCTCCCAATATAACTAGCTGAGAATACTGAAAAATCAGTCATGACAACTGCACTTTTCCACTGAACAGTCAGTGTGTGTCCTTTGTGTTGCCATCTTTTGGTGTGTTTAGGTAGGGTCAGGCATGGATCATTTACAACCACCCAACAGACTTTTCAACACCCCAAATTGCATAGACCAGGACTTCGCTAAAGGTACTGGGAATTTTAGAAAACTTACAAGGTTTCTCATAGGCGCTACAAATAATTTGCGTACATTTGGGGGGTAATCATAAGAAATTTGAGATTATCAAAGTTTACATGTGCACCAGATTACACCTCCACTGTTCTAAGAGCTGGCCACCGCCTCCCCACACACTCCCTGCACCAGATTACACCTCCACTGTTCTAAGAGCTGG